ATCCTAAATAATCGATTTCCACGTTCCATTTAATTAAAAAGAAAAACATCATATTTGCAATAATTTCAACAAAAATTATTTATGAATCGTTTTGAAATATTTATAAATCTCAAATCTTAAAAATTTTTAAAACATCTTAAATAATCGATTTCCATGTTCCATTTAAAAAAAAAGATCATATCTGTAATAATTTCAACAAAAATTATTTATGAATCATTTTGAAATATTTATAAATCTCAAATCTTAAAAATTTTTAAAACATCCTAAATAATCGATTTCCATATTCCATTTAAAAAAAAAGATCATATATCTGTAATAATTTCAACAAAAATTATTTATGAATCATTTTGAAATATTTATAAATCTCAAATCTTAAAAATTTTTAAAACACCCTAAATCGATTTCCACTTCGATTTCCATTTAATTAGAAAAAAAAAATTAATATCCGTGTAATTATTTTTAAATTATACACTTTTTCGTGTAAGAGCATGTGTAAAAGCATACGACTATTCTTCTCGAGAAAAAAAATCGAATAAAATAATAAAACAAGGAGAACAACTGGCTTGTATTTATACGATGATCGCAGTTAACTCTTCATCCATCCCTATTTGCCTTCCGTTTCTTATCTTTCCACCGACTAATTCGCGCACAAAGCCAATCTCAATGCGGCGACGACACGCGTCACTACTGGCTGACTAAATGCACGGGACACAGCCGTCGGCCGATATGAAAATCCGATGGGACGCCCGTTTACATCCATCAAAGTCTCAAAACAAATTGTACATCATTGTACATTATTTCCTCCCGAATATAACTAACAATCGCTTCTTGCAAGAAAATATATCCAAATAGAGAATAATAATAATAATTATTATTATTATTATATTCATTATTGTAGCTGAAATATTACTTATTTGTACGTTATTCAAGAGAGGAAAAATTGTAATTGTATTCTCATGTATCATCGATATAAGAAAAAAATGTTAATCTCGTTACAATAAAATTAAGAATAATATTTACATAATATTACATAATATTACAATTTAATTTAATCGTTAATACAATTATGAAAATTAATTAATACAATTATGAAACTTAAACATCCCCGTAAATTTGTTTACATTTCCATAAACTTATAATTTTATTAATATATCTCAAGTTTCGAACTTTGTTTCGAACGAATCTCTTTATGTATACGCGTTATATATTCAAATGGAACTAAAAGAGACGTTTTGGCGCGAGAAAAGGGAAAATTTCAAGGAGAGAGGCGTTTGTATCGGTGAAAAAAAAAAAAAAAATACTTTTACATTATCCTCCCCCCCCCCTCGATATACAGGTGAATAGAGGGGTCCGATGGATTAAACTCGAGTTAAAGTTTTAATTAATATTGGCTTTTTCGTAAGAGTTGTGTAAGTTGCGATCTCGAGAGATACTTTCGAAGGAATTTCGCGGATGAAGGGAGAGGGAGGAGGAGGAGGAGGAAAAGATTGTGCCCTCGAACTGTGTTTAACGGCCGTATTAAATAACGAGGATGGAAAATTTCGAGGAGGAAAGTGGTCGGCTGAGGGGGAAGGGAGAAGTAGTCGTTAAAGATAATGCGCTTTGTTAGGAGGTCGTTGTGGGTTTGTTGAAAATAAGTGTGCGCTCTTTCTCGAATATTTCTTGCAATTCGACGACTATAAAATGGAATAAAATAATTTGTTAGATATTACGATCTAGAATTTTAAATTTTATATAACAAGTCGACGTTCTATAAATAATATAATGAGAAGAATTTTAAGAATTTTAGATTTACCATTCGATAAATTTAAAGGAGAGGGGAAAGAGGAGAGAGAGAGAGAGAGACATCGACGGGATGTTAGTTTTAATCAATTTCCAGCTGAGCCAATTGCATAGGAGAAAAAGAGGGAAAGAGGGAGGAGGGCTTCCTTTCACATTGGATCCGTCGAAACGAAAATTATTCTATCGTCTGAAATTTAAAACCGGCGAAAAGAGAAGCGCGCCCCTGTAAAAATTGCACGGAACATCGAAACCTTCCTTTAACGTAAATCAGATTAAGCGATGTTCCAAACGATGTTAGATCGTACGATTTGACGATCGAGGATTTTCGAGTGGGTGAAAAAATAAAAAATATTCGTTTCAACGGAATATTTTAATTAATAAGGAGTAACGAGATAGAAGAATATCTTTTTTTTCAGAATTTGTTTCGAAACTCATCTTTATCTTTAGCTTCATCGATCGAAAAATACCCACTGTTTTTGCATCGTCGAAAATATGAAAGAGTTAATAATATTTACTTCGAGCATGTTAAATTCCAGATAAAAAATTTGCTAAAAAATTTTTCATCTTCCACGGTATATTTTAACAGAATTCAAAATTGCAATTTTATTACCAAGTTCGAAATCTTTTTCGAAAATTCTTGCTTTCAAAAAATAAAAAAAAAAATCTTCGAAAACGAAAGTGCCAACGACCCATTTTCTTTCAGAGAAAAAAAAAATCCCAAAAGTACTCCACGCGTAGTATGGAAGACGATAAAGAGTTAATAGTACACGAAACGCGCAAGAGTTGAACATTCTCGATAACGAGTTGTTGCACGTGCCTGAGAGAAGGGATTCCATCGATTCGACGAGTTTCCTCTCGCTTGGGGGACACCCCAGTTCGTTTCCGACCTGTCTTCGCGGGTCTTGACCCCTGCGTTCCCCTTCTTCCGTGAAGATCAAAGAGAATCAAAATTCTCTTCCTCCTCACATCGATTTTTTTAATCGAATTTTGAGAATCATTTGATCAATTCGTATTTATATAAATCGATCAATTTTAGAAAGAAAGAAATAGATTTTTTGGATATCTATTTTTTTATATTCTCTTATTTCGACACCGAGTTTAATTTCATATGAATGAATAATTATATACGTTGAAATAACGTGAAATTATATCATAGTTTCTACTTTCCGTCATTTATACATTTTCCATTGCGTATACTCTATGTATGAACGTAACAAAATTCGAAACTGAAATGGAATATAGTTGTAATAATTTTGACGATTTAATGCGTCGATTGAAAATGAATCGTATATATTATACAATCCCCAGTTACACCTTTCGAGTTCGATATTCTATTTAAACCGCGTTATCAGACGCGACGTAGATAAAACATCGAGGATAAAATTCACCATAAATTCTACGACCTTATTTTTTTCTGCTATCTCTATCCATTCCACATTTTTTTACATCTTCGAAAGATACGAGAGCGGGATATATACGTTTGTATAGAATCGTTCGAAAAATACGCGACGATATATATATATA